CCCTTAAGTGTCTCCGCTTCCGGCCTCCTCCTTACAAATTAAGTCACCATGATTTTTAATTCCTTTTTTGCTTACAGTGTAGCTTCAGGAGTGTTTATTTCTGGTTAAATCCAACTGTGGGTAGTATCTCTGTGGTTGTTTGAGACAGAAGGAAGAATTTCCTGGTGGTGCATTTAGAGTCTTCTAAAATAAACTTCCCCACTCAAGAAAAATATTTAAATCGTCATCTTATCAAATGCAAAACACAGGCTTTTCCTGACTGTTATGATTATGTTGAAGAAGTGTCTTTTTTTAAACCAAGGACTATGATCCCTCAGTGAATGGTGAAATCAATTCGCCTGTTGGGACTGGCGTTCAAAACAAATGAAATAGAAGAGAAAATATTAGAGCGCATTGCATGTAGTAAGTATTCATGTGTAATTAAACACGCGTGTGCTGGGTCGAGAAGGAAAATGTATTTCTTTGTCTGGTTTGTGGTTAAAAAAAAAGTGTGTTTGAAAGCCCCCATGTTAAAGGCATTCTGATTGGTCATAGAGTATAACCTGCTGCTATTATTTGAAAACTAAGGTCAAAGAGATACTTCTCCCCAATGCTCTGTGTTTCAAATGATCTTGATTTGCAATCATGTTTGCTTTCAGTTCATGTTTGCTAACTAGGGCCTGAAGGGAAAGGAAGGTGTGTGTGTGTGTGTAGGTGTGTGTGCGTGTGTGCGTGTACCATTTACCTTGTATGAAAATATCAGTCCGGGGCGCCTAGCCAGCTCAGTAGGAGGAGCATGCAGCTCTTGATCTCAGGGTTTTGAGTTTGAATCCCACATTGGGTGTAGAGATTACTTAAATAAATAAAACTTTAAAAAAAAAAAGGAGAAAAAGAAAATATCAGTCAGGACAGGGTTTCTCAAGCTCCACACTATTGACACATTAGGTCAGATGATTCTTTGTCGTGGGGGCCCTCCTGTGTGCTCCAGGATGTTTAGTAGCATCCCTGACGTCTACCCATTCAATGCCAATAGCACATTTCTCCCACCACCAGTTCTGATCAGTTGGAGACAAAATGTCCCCAGACATTGCCAAATGTCCCTGTGGCATGGGGGTGGTGGGTCGGGGGATGCCCCTGGTGGAGAGTCACTGGTCTAGACCACAGTGGCCTTGCTCCTCTATAAAACTCCTGGCTTCCCCACCCTAAGTCCAGTGCTCTAACCAGGTTCAAAGGAAGGCTTGTGCCTGGCTAGCTCAGCTCTCTCTGACAAGCAGAGTTCTGTGCCATCTGAAGCTACCATCAGTTACAGAGTCAAGATCAGGTTCATAAGCTGGGTGTTGGGAGACCCAGGGGCATGACTCTCCCCTGCTGGGGCTCTTGGAATAACTCTGAGCAAACCCCTGATCTCTCTGGCATCTGGGGGATACACTTGTCCTAGCCACATCAAAAGGGTGGAGGAGGGCTGATTTACTAAATGGGAAAGCCCTTTTGAGAGTTAAAAGCCCTCTTCAAAGGGGAGTGATAATTATTAAATGTTGAGGTATAAATCAGGTGGTGCCTCATTGCCCTGAACGCTTGTCTCCTAGGGAAAAAGTGTGGGGGAGAATTTAGCACTTGACAGAGAAGACTTGCCCCTTTCATTGAATTTTTCACCATAAGCAGAGTGAAAACCCAAGCTAAAGCCATGGCATTTATGTCTGACCAAGTATGCCTAGAATGTTCCTGAGGGATGCCTTGCTCAGAGCTGGGGCAGAGTTCTGTCTGAGATGCCCTGGGTAGCCTGTCCAGCCTGGAGGCAGGGAGGGTGATGCTGGGACTCTGTCGCCTCTGTTATCACTGCTTCCAATCTAAGGCTGTTTGGGGCTTTCTGGGAGAAGGGTGGAGTCTGGGAAAGGGAATGATGGAGTAGATTCTTGCCTTCTACTAACTACTTGTGTATATTGAGAGGAGGGCATGAACAGCGACCTCAGACCTCACCCCTTCTCATGCTTGCCTTTCCTGCCATTGTCACTACTTTGCCATTTGTCCTGGCCTGGCCTGGCTATCCGGCCTTGATTCTATTCTCACTTCCTCTTGACCACCTTATGGGGGGGCCCAGGGAATAAGAAAGTCATCCCGATTTGATTGGTTAGGAAATCCAGCCACGGGGCGCCTGGGTGGCTCAGTCGGTTAAGCGTCTGACTCTTGGTTTTGGTGTCACTCTTGAGGTCGTGATCTCAGGGTTGGGAGATCAAGCCCCGAGTCGGGCTAGGTGATCAGCATGGAGTCTGCTTGAGATTCTCTCTCCCTCTCCTTCTGCCTCTCCTGCTCATACTCGCTCTCTCTCAAATAAATAAACAAATCTAAAAAAAAAAAAAAAATCCTGCCACAACAGCTTCCCTCCTTGCTCAAGAGGAGAAGGCTTGGGTGGGAGGTGGTGGGAGTTTTAAACGGGGAGTGACTGACTAGACCAGACCTACAACCTGGGAAACTGTGATAAAAGGGTTGGCAGGCGCAACATGACAAGAGGATCAGGTTTGGAAGGCTGTCGTAGTGTCCAGGGAACAGATGAGGGTGGCCTCAAGGAGAGACAAAGCAGTGGATGGGCTCCAGAAACATCAAGAAGGCAGAATCAATGTGATGAGGTGAAGGACTGGACATGGCAGATAGGGGAGAAGGAAGTGAGGGATGATATCTAGTGTACTGGTTCAGGTGTTTAGATGGATTGTTTTGGTGTTTACCCAAAGGGTGAACACTGGAAGAGAAGCAGGGGTTGAGGGTTGGGGTGTTTATTGTTGGTAGAACTTGCTATCTATTTGCCAAGCCTTGAAAACTATGGGGCTCTGTGTGCCTGGAAGGAGCACCTCTTCCTAATTCACGCCAAGGCACTATGTATGTATAGACTGCAGCCACCGGAGTGGGACATCTATGAGCTGTGCAGGAGTGGTTGTGTACCTGGAATAGATTTCATGAAAGACCCAGAAAGACCCAGAAATGTGAGAGCTGTCACCACACAGATGGTGACTAAAGCCATGGTGCGGGCAGGGGACATGCAAAGTGAGAAGGATGAAGCCCCTTCACTCTTTTGATGACATTCCTTCTCATTGGCTTCAGCCTACCTAACATCCTGCCCTCACTCTCAGTACTGCAGCCACACTGGTCTCTAAAGTGTTCAAAGCACCAGGATCGTCATACGCCACGTTCCTTTTGCCAAACCAGTTCTCAACCCCTAGATTAGCTAATTCTCAACCTTCGAGTCTCAGCTCAATGGCAGTCTCTCCCCAGACTGGAAAAAAAAGTGCACTATAATCTCTGGAAACCCTCTGCACCTTTTCTGTATGGTACCAATCACGGGTGTAAATTTTTTTTTTTTTTTTACAGCTCTATTGAGGCATAATTTACATACCATAAAATTTGTCCATTCTAAGTGTACAACTCAATGACTTTTTGGTAAATGCTAAGTTATGCCACATCACCACAAAATTTCTGTCACTCCCCAAAATTCCCATGAGCTAATTGGCAAGCAATTTCCATTCCCACCTTTAACTTTTCTGGATATATCATATAAATAAAATCACATAAACGGAATCAGATAGTATGTAATCTTTTGCATCTGACTTTGGGCTTAGCACAGTAATTTTTAAGCAGGGGTGACTCTGGCCTCCAGGAAACATTTGACAATAATTTGGAGATATATTTGGTTGTCACAACTGGGAGGGGGGTAGAGGCTGGGGATAACACTAAACATCCTGCTCTGCACAGCACAGCCCCTTACAACAGAGAATTAGCCAACCCAAAATGTGCCAAGGTTGAGAAACCTTGACTTAGCCTAATATTTTTGAGGTTCATCCATGTTGTAATGTGTAACGTCATTTCGTTCCACTATTCTACTTTCTGTCTCTATGAATTTGGCTATTCTAGATATCTTATATAAGTAGAATCATACATATTTGTCCTTTTGTGACTGGCTTATATTTACCCAGCATTACGTCTTCATGGTCCATTCTAGTAGCCTTTATCAGAATTTCATTCCTTTTAAAGGCTGAATCTAATTCCGTTGTGTGTATACCACATTCTGTTTATCCATTCATCCATTGATGGATTCGAGTTGCTTTTTGGGGAAAGGATTTGTTGACCTCCATGCTGCATCATTCTGGAAATGAATCTCCGCAGGCATAATTATACATTTATCTGTATATTACTAGATTAATGACTACCTCCCACATTAGCCAAGCTCCATGAGTGGAAAAATGAGGGTTTTTTTGGGTGTTTTTGATCACTTTACCCCAGCACCTGGTAGTAGGCACTCAGTGAATACTTGTTGAATATATGAATATTTAAGGTATGGAACGAGATGACTCCCCCCCACCCCCGATCCATTTTAAGCAGGAAAAGTCAAGGACAAATGTGCTTTAGGAAGAAAAAGAATTGCCAGTATTTACTGGGCTCAGCTCCATGCCAAGCTTTTCGTTGCCTCACCCCATTTAATCCTTACAATAAAGCTTCTGAATGTAAAACGAAATCACATTTTAAGGCCAAGAATGGGAGTTAAGTTCTAAAGTTGTTAGCACAAAAGGCAAAAATTGGTATAATCAAAATGACCTAATCTGAACACTCACTCAAGTAAGATGCCTTTCGTTGCATGCTCACCTTGGAATGCATGCATGGCCGTTGGGTGGAATGGTAGGGAATTTATAAACTACCCTTTTATCCCCATCACCTATGTTTGACTTGAAATTAGCTAACCAGGATATGACTCCACTTGACTAGTTTCATCCACGCTTTAAGGATGAAGAAGCGGGGACGCGAAGTGGTACGCAGAGGGGCAGAGTTAGAGGCAGGGACACAGAAGATATCCAGGAGTCCTGGCAGGAAGTGGAGAGGGATGTCTGGAATGAGGCAGGGGCTGGAGAGCACTGTCTGGAGCACGGACAGGATCGCGGTGAGGGCTGCTGAATCTTCGGGCAGCCAAAGGATAGCGGGCTGGACCCCATTCCACAACTACCTCTCATTCCCAGCCATTCCCCGCCTGGTTAACTCACCGGCTTCGAGGGCTCCAGGTCCCTCAGCGCAGTTCCCTCCGCGGCGCCTGCGTTGCTAGGTTACCCGCCAATCACTGAAGGAGGGACTCGGCACCTGACTGACTTTCCTTTTCACCATTCAATTTCTTGTTCCTCTCAGTTCGCCCCACCTCCTGAGGCTTGACCAATCAGAAGCACCGACTCTCTAACCCTCCACCAATTGAAAGACCCGGGACTCTCTCTGGGTTGGGCTGAACAAGCAAGGCGGGCAGGGTGGGAGGAGAAAGGGGCAGAGCTTATTTGTTCCGCCCCTTCTCAAGGAGGTGGGCAGGGAGTCCCGCAACAGCAGCGGGAGAGAACTGGGGAAGGACGTGAGGCTTGGCCAATCAGAGCCCATCATGCAGCCTAGGTAGCCAATAGGTCGCGGCAAAGGGGAAATGGGGCGGGGCCGGCGGGGTTGAAGGCACGGTAGGCGGTGGACGGGAGAGCTGGCGCAGCTGCTGTGGTGGCCGCGGCTGAAGTGGCGGCGCCTGCTGTGGCTGCAACAGCTCCAGGCTCGGGGCTTTGGTGGCGGCGGCGCCCGCGGGCTGGGCTGCGCGGTGCGGACCCCGGCGCGCGGTCCGGGTTGCTCGGGCGGCGCGTGTAAGAATCCGAGGGGTGCGAACGATGGCCTGACGGAGAGGGCAGGGGTCAGGGGTCAGAGGGCGCGGAGTGAGGGGTTGCTGCCGTGCACTGGGTTGTGGGAGGCGGGCAGGGCGGGCCCAGACGGGCTGCGGGGGAAGTCATCGCCGCGCTTTTCAACCCCCAGCCCGGGCCGGGGCTTGGCGCCCGCTCTCCTGACTCCCGGCTTCCTGGGGCTACCCCCACGCAGGGGCCCGGACCAGGGCCGGGGAGCACGTGGACCTGGAGCCCGCATTCCTTGTCCCCCACCCCACCCCGCCATCTGCTCAGCTCCCTGGCGCCCTGAGGCGCCCCACCCACGGAGACTCGTGCCCGGGTCACAGATGGCTGCTGGTCCGCTTTCCTGGGACCTGTCCCCGCGGATGACCCTTCCCTTCTGGGTCCTCTGTAGAGGGAGAAGCAGAGCCCGCGGGAGGAGCGCTGGGCTAGGACTCGGGAGTCCTGCATTGTGTGACCTTGGGCAAGTCCCTTCTCCCCTCTGGGCCTCACTTTTTCCTCTCTGCAAAATGATGGGCTTGAATTCAAACTGGGGGCTGGTTCTGCCAGGAGGGAGAGGGTAATGGTTAAGTGGGGAGGGCCCCTGAATTCAGACTGCCCGCGTGAAATCTGGGCTCTCCCACTTGCCTGCTTATAAGTTAACCCCTCTAAGCCCCAGTTTTCCTCATCTGTGAAGTGGGGATATGAGCTAAATAGGATTTCTCAACAGCAGTGCTATTGACATTTGAGCCACATATTTCTATATTGTGGTAGGTCTCGCCTGTGCATTGTAGGATGGATGTTCAGGGGCATCCCTGCCCTCTGCCTATGAGCACCCCCACTCCCTAGTTATGATAATCAAAAATATCTCCGTAGGTTGCTGGTATCCCCTGAGGGGCAAAGTCACCCGGGTCGAGATCCACAGAGCTAAGATACTGCATGCACTGCAAGCAAATGGTCACGAATTAAACAGTTAAAATAAAAACCTCTAGCCATTATGATAACAGCAATAAAAATTTAGAAACCTCTTCTTGATGAGACGAGAATATTGATTGATTCTCTTGCCTGTAAAATAAACACGGGAGAGGATGACAAGACGTTAATTGTCAAAGCTGAGTGATGGATGCAAGGAAGTTCCTTTACATATTCTCTCTATTTTTGAGTATATTTGAAAACATCTGGTGGGAAAAGTTAAACCAAAAAGAGAATAAGTAAAACATATAATTCTTAAGACAGGCCGAATGGTAGTATCTCATTTGGGATTTCCTCTTTTGTTTCTCCATTATTGAGATTGCAAAGTAAAATTAATCCCCAGACCGGGGGGAAACTTAAAAAAAAGTCTTACAGGAAGTTGAGAGCAGACGGCTACAGGCCTAGCAAACAGAATGATGCTCACTTTTGCTGCATAGTTTTAAGAAGATATTGACGCATAGGAACTTGCTCTGGTGATGTGTGAAAGATGCAAATTGCCAGATTGCCATTTAGTGGGTGAGTTTGGAGGCCGACTTGATTGAGCCCAGAAGGCCTCAGCTTGAGGAAGGAACCTGCTGCTCTTTTCAAGTTCAAAGGTCTGCTGTCAGATCTGCTGAGTCTTTACTTTGCATTTGGTCCTGCTCAGCGGAAATAGGAATGTGTATAAATAGGAACTGTAACAGGCTAGTTCTGAGTGTTTTAAAATTGGGAGTCCAGGATGAGCGCTTTTGCTGTGTGACTCTGGATGTCATTTTAAAAAATACTCTTCTCCTTCCTCCTAAAACACCAAAATCTAGGAGAATAATGCCTATATGAGAATGATATGGGCACGTGTAGGTGATCTGGCACACTACCTCTACATGTCACTGAAGCTAGGTGCTACGTAAATACCAAGGCGGGGTCTTGGAGAAATTGTAGTGTGGTGGATAGGATAACAGGTCTGGAGCTAGACTGTGTAGTTCCCAAAGTTTGGCTTTCTAGCTGTGGGTTCTTGGGCAAGTTCCTTAATCTCTCTGAGCCTAGAGTCTCCCACTCTGTAATGGGGGCTAATAATCCTACCACTCTTACGAAGTTTTAATCAGGTTTTCTTAAAAATTGTTGGAAGAGCCCCTGGTACATAGTAAGTGCTCATTGAGTATGAATTACTATTATTTTAATGGTTGTATTTTTTTTTTTAAATCTTTAAAATCTTCATAGAACACATAAACAAGGGTAAAGAGGGATGGAGGTAGAACATATTAGCCATAATCTCAATCTCCAGACATAATTATGCTTAAATTTTCAGTATTTGTTCTTACAGAGTCCCCCCCCAATATTTTAATGCTATTACTGTAATACTCTTTATTGAGATATAATTCACATACCATAAAGAATCCACCATTTTAAAAGGTACAATTCAGTAGTTTTTGGTACATTTGCATGGTTATGCAACCATTGCCACTCTCTAATTCCAGAACATTTTCTTCAGTAGTGGTTGTATTTTGATAATTGTTTTTCTCTTTTTATCCCCCAAACCCTAGAAGATGCCTCTGATGGAGGAGTTTCTGAGAAGCACCTCTGAGCCAGTGGCTTTGAAAGGGAGCTCAAAGCAGAGACTATTTAAAGCTCTGAACATCGCATCCTGAGGGCTGCAGGAGAGGAGAGCATGGCCGTGAGTTTAGATGATGACGTTCCCCTCATCCTGACCTTGGACGAGTGTGGCAGTGCCCCACTAGCTCCCTCCAACGGCCTGGGCCAAGAGGAGCTGCCTAGCAGAAGTAAGACTGTGGGGTGCGCTGGGGACGGGGCACAGCTTTTCTGTTTCGGGGGTGAGCTGTGGGCTTGGTGGTCTGGTAGTAGATGTGTGTATGCTAATGCTTGACCCTACATCTGACCCCTAAGTTCTGACTCAAACTAGTGGGAGACCATGGAGTCCTAATCTTGCATCCCCAGCTTAGGGATGCTTCCAGGGAGTGAGTAGCCTGTCCTCCTGGGGCTCTCGCCTCTCCCAGGGCCTTACCTCCCTTGCACTTGAGGTACCCTGCTTTGTTTGTGGATGCTTGTTGGGGACCTCAGGCAAATCTCCTCTTTGGCTAGCTTCCCTGCCCCATTCCGTGTTAAAAAAAGAAACCGATTTCAACACCAGCCTCCTCTGTCCAACCTGAAACTCTTGGCGGGGAAGCAGAGATGACTGCTCTCCACGGTAGAGCTCAGTCCCTGCATTGCCGGGGACAGGGTGGGACAGGGGCAAGCATTTGCCGTGATCCATTGATTTGAGGGTTTGGGGTTTTGCTTTGTCTTCCTCTTAAACCAGCGCCTAGCACAAAGTGAGCCCAAGAGAGGCGAGCTTTAAATTTTTTACATTTTAATTGTGTTTCTGGCAGAATAAGAGACCTTAAAAAGCTTTCTGGTTCTTGTCCCGGAGCCATTTCCCTCATAAGCCCAGGCCTTGGGTCCAGGAAACCTTAAAATAACTTTCATTTTATGGAGGGTCCTAAGATGTCAGGGACTAACGCTTTAGGATCTCCTCACCAAACAGATGTTCCATCTGCTGGCCATGCTCCTGAGCCAGGACAGAGGGGTACTGCTGTCCTCCTGTTCACAAATGAAGACACTTGGGTCCAGGGAAAGACGAGCCTGGCTCTCCCGTCTCCTTTGTCCAGAGAGAACACAGTTGAGTCGCAGGGAGCTCCGCAGCCTCCCCTTGGAAGTGATGAAGGACAGCAGTGTTCCTGTGGATGGGAGTGCCGTGGGAGGCCTGGCTCCCTATAAACTTGGCCTCTCCTTGCTTCAGCATGTTCACCCCACTTAGAGTGGTAGAGCTGGGTGGTCCAGGGAGGTCCGAATAGAAATCAGATTCTTCCCTAAGCGCCATTCAGGGCGGAGAAATCAGTGGCTCTGATTTCAGGCTCACTTCTTAAATGCCCCAGAGCTGGCAAGCTAAGTATTAGGCTCTTTCTTATCTGTTATCTTAACTAAGATCCTTTTGCAGGGTGGGCAGTGTTATCCCTGTTTGACAGAGGAGGAAACCATGAGTCAGAGAGGTAAAATAACATGCCCAAGGTCACACAGCCAAGCAAGTGGTTGAGCATAGATTTGAACCCAGGACTGTTTGACTCCCCTCCCCCTCCTCCCTTTTTTGCTCTCCTGCTTCTCCTCCTGGTTCCATCACTAGCCCTTAGTAAACGCAGATACTACCCCTTAGCATTTACATATATTAATCTCATCATATAACCTCAAGATAAAATTATTTTCTGTATTACAGAGGAAGAAACAGCCTCAGAGATGTTAAGTAACATGTCCAAGGTCACACAGCTAGTAAGCAATAATGTCCCTCTAATATCCACCCCCACCCCACTATGTAAGGTGCTTTGAAGGTGATGTAAATGAATGTGACCTAGCCTCAGCTTCATTTTTTTTTTTTAATGTTTCATGTTATGAGTTGGGTGCTCAACTATGAGTTGGATGGCACCCAGGCATCCCCCCTAGTCTCAGATTCAAAGTAGGATACTCCCTAGTGTGGAGGGTGGTCAGGTCCACTGCCAACAAGGGAATGGACTGCAAGGGTGGGCAGTTAACATACTAAGGGTGTGGATTATTCTGGAAGTAGTCAGGCTCAAGATTCTAAATTGGAATCCTGATCATTGTCTGGGTGCCTCTTTTAAGTCCTTCCACAGTATCAGAGCTGATGGCCAGGGTGTCTGGCTGTCCTGCGATTCAGAGTGGGAAGAGCAACCTAGTTCTGTGTCAAGATCAGGTTTTGAACCACTAACGAAGCTTGAGTGGGAAATAGGCCAAGTAGACAATAAAACCAACCTTGGATGGGCCTCTAGTAAGGCTATTTTTATCTTGGGGAAGTTTGTGGCTTCTTCGGCTGTTTAAGAACAACGAAATATAAAACTGTCAAGGTCCAGGGAAACTGGGCTTTCCGCACAGTGTGTTGGTGCCTCAGTTTCCCCTCTCACCCTCTTACTAGGGTCATTTGCTCAAACCTCCAAGAACTAATAGTTGTAATCCTTCAAGGCTTATTGGCAAAACAGTCCGGCCTGTCTGAGGACAGTTTTGGCCTGTGTTATTTCATGCTTGGATTTTGGCATTGACCTTCTGCCAAGGTCCCCCATCCCTGCTGTCTGAGCAGCCTGTCTAAAACACAAATCGGACCCAGTACTCTCCCCAGCTTGCAGCTCCCCAGGACCTCCCTGTCCCCCATGGGATGCAGGCCCAGCTCTTTAGCCTGGTGTACAAGGCCTTGCGTGCTCTGGCGCCTTCTTGCCCGAACGGTCCCATTTCCAGCCTTAGCCCACAGTTGTCACACTGCTTCTAGTTCTGCGAAACCCCCGTGCATTCTTAAACCTCTCTGCCTTGCTGGAGACTGTCTAGAGCGCCTTTCCCAGGCTCTTGTTTGCTGTTGTTGCTTGCTTCCAGTTCTGTCTTGGGAATCCTGCTGATGAGTCCATCTCTTTGAAGGCGTCACCGAACCTCCCATTCCTGACATGGCTAATTAGTCACTGCCCTTTTCTGCTTTGGTATCTAGATGAGGCTTCCACTGTTACAAGTAGCTGACTGTGTGGTAGTGACTTGTTTAACCATCTGATGACCTCCTGGACCCCGAGTTCCATTCATTTTGGTATCACCCAGATCAGTGCCTATAGTGTATAGGTACTCAACAAATCATGGTGGAAATGAACCTCATTGGGTTTCTGGAGCCTTTAGCTGGCAATGGGAGTGGCCCTTGGGGCCCTGGTCAGAGGTAGGCAGCATCTCCTCTGCCTCTTCTCCTAACCAGTGCTCGGAGTCTCATTGCTCACAGTACCATGATGTTCCAAAGAAGCAGCCCGGTCTCCGGCCATGACAACAATGCCTATGACTGGCCGAGCACTTCTCGTGGGGAGCACGCACGTGATCTCACTAAATCCCAGCAACCCTCCCGGGAGATGCTAGCATGACCCCACTCTACAGACTAGTAGGAGGCTGAGGCTTACAGAGGCGAAGATCCCTACGTGGCTAGAACTGGAAGCCTGGAGCTTGACTCTGGAGCCCGCGTGCTGAATCAGTCTACCACCCGGGGTATCCCAAGTGGCAAAAGCTACATGAGTCCCTTGGACGGTGTTCACTCTTTGGCAAGGACACTGGGGAAGAACCGTGGGCACAGATTTCTGTGATGGAGAGCTCACTTTGGGGTTGATCATCCTTGGGTGGACAGCCCCCACTGCTCTTTCCCAGATCCCAGAGAGCTGATTGTCCTGGAGGCTGCCACTGTCACCCCCAGTCTGTCACTGATATAAACCCTTGCGGTATCAAGGAGTTGGCAGAATTCAGACAGAGGCCTTCAGCAGAGTTGGCAGCTACGTGGCCATGAGCCACTGAGAACCAAGCCAGCTTTCTAAGGGTGTGAGCCATGGTCAAGCCTGGGCCTCCGCCCAACCCAGCAGTTGTCACTGAGGTCTTCTGCTGGCTCTGTACCTATGTACTCCTTTGTTTTAGTCTGCTCCAGCTGCCATGACAAATAGCACAGACTGGGGGCCTTAAGCAACCAAAGTTCATTTTCTCACAGTTCTGGAGGCTAGAAGTCCAAGATCAAGGTGTCAGCAGGGTTCGTCTTTTTTCTGAGGCCTCCCTGCTTTCCCTGCAGACAGCCGCCTTCCGACTGTGTCCTCACATGTTCTTCCCTTAGTCTGGGTGTCTGTGTCCTAATCCATTCTTACAAGGACACCAGTCAGGTTGGATTAGGGCCCAGCCATAGGACCTCATTTTACCTTAATTACCTCTTTAAAATACGGCCACATTCTGGGGTCCTGGGGTTAGAACTTCAACATAGGAATTTTAGGGGGACACAGTTCAGCCTGTAACCCTCCTTGCCCTCTCCTCAGATGCAGGTATGCAGGAACCTGGCTGTGCTGCCTCTGACCTTTGACCCTACGCCAGGGGTGGCCTATGCTGGGGTGTTACCTTCACAGGAATCTGGAGGGTTGGGATCATATTTTTTTTTTCCCTTTGTGGGCAAGAATGGATTTTATCCAAGACTCAGACATCTCTGGGCTATAAGAGCGGCTGCCGAAATGCTAATGAACGACTCATAGGCCGAAGATGTCAGCTTGATAAAGGAGGCAGGTAGAAGCAGAGGTATTTAAAGCCTGGAAATTAGGAATAACCTTGAAAACGGGCAGTGGGGCTGGCGTTTGACAGTGTGGTTTCGAAATAGCTCACGGTGTGCATTGTGTATCAGGCTGAGCACTGGGGGCAATACAAAGGATTTTCCAAGGGAATTCTGGTCACACTCACCTTTTGCCTTCTCATTGCCTTTTGACCCAACAGTTGCCTAGGACGGGCCTGCACACTATGCTTTTTCTGGGTATAAAAAGGATTGGGGTTGAGGGGAGTGGCTGAGACACTTTGTCTCATGGGGCTACTTTGGTGCTGGTGGTCCCTGGTTTCCAGGTGACAAGCCATGCATGGATAAGGCCTAAGGTAACAGGGCAGAGGAGCCCCGTCTTCCTCCTTCACCCTGATGCCGAGTTTGCCATCGGGAGTTACCTTGCTCAGGGCGGTATCTAGCAATGTAGAGGGCCACTGCCCCCTTGCAAGGGGCCAACATGTGGCATCCTGGCTCCTTTTCCAGAGTCTTCATGTAGCCAGAGCCAGTTGGCACCAGGCTCAGTCAAGGTGGGCCAGAGCTGTTGGCCTTGGGGCAGGTGTAGCCAGGATGATCTAGGAAAGAGCAGTGGGAGCTGTCCACCCAAGGATGATCAACCCCAAAGTGAGCTCTCCATCACAGAAA